TCATAACCAGTCTTAAAGCTGCAGAATTGAATATCCAGTATAAACAGAATAGATGATTTAGGATATAAGCATCATAAAGTCACCCTAGGACATTGCATTAATCAATTATATTAGCAGATGACATTTTATTCAAGGGAGGTTACCCTGTTACCTGAAGGCACTTTTGTTTCCTTTTCTTTTCCCCCTCCATTGTATAAAACTCCGTGAACACAGTGTGTAGAAATTGAACTTCAAATAACCACTTCATTTCCCTTCCACCCTCTTCAGCAGGAGAGGGACAAAGGCAGAGACCATGGGTTGAGATAACAATTTATTGAAAGCAAACAGCAATGGATTAAGAAAGGCCCGGTAACAGCTGCAATATCAATAACAAAAGTATGTAAGAGAAGGGAAGAAGTGCTTTACACACAAAAAGGCGTTCACCACCCTGACCTAGTTCTGCACGGCTGCCGGGACAAAGACAAGACAGACAGACAGGATGGCAGGTTCTCTCCACAGCGCTCTCCTTGTCCCCGAGCCGGGAACAGGAAAAGAATGGACAACTCCCAAAAGCTGGATTGTGCACGTCGAGCCACGCTGCTGCTTCGGGCGCTGGGCTCGATTCCACGCTGCTCTGGCTGGCACTGGTGTCGCTGTTTTTGACTGCTCCATCCGGGGCCACTTGGCTCCTTTCAGCTTGGGTTGGACTCAGCTGAGGTCTACATATTTGGATCTGCAATAACTTTGCAAAGGATTTCTGTTACTGGATTACTGTAGCTGAATCAGTCCATTTAAATAAATGGGACTCCCCAATAGACCTGTTGCCTTAGATGAGGGCAACTGTTTGCTCAGGGATAATTCTGGTCTTTTATTTTTCCCAGACTTATGTACCCTACTGCAGTGACAAAAATTAAGCTAAATACATCCTAGAGATAGTGAAACAACTGAACAGAAAAAGATTACTTGCTATTTTGGGCTACTTCCTTTCTCTCTGCAGTGCATGGGGCAGGAGTGTGGCTTCAGCCTTCCAGCTTCAGGACTCATATCTGGGATATACATATGGGATATATAGTGTTGTTTCCTTTTCTAATTTTGTTTCAGCTTTCTAATTATATCCACCCTTTCTTACATAACTCATAGTCTTTCCCATTGATTTCATTAGTGCTGCATCCCATTTTCTTAAATGAATAGTAGAACTTATCATCTTATCCTTCCTGCTTCTGTACTAACTTTAAGTTGAATGCACCATTACTTCCTTACACAGAAACACTTGAAAGCACTTCAGACTGATGTTTCTCATTTAATCTCCCACAACTCCTTTAAACTTAATATAGGGTTATGAAGCTACGTTTTACTCCCCTTCTGCAAAACTGTTCCTTACAACATTCTTGTTTTAACTTCCATTTTCTTTCATTTCACTGTCTAGTGCTGATGAGAAAATTTCCATGAAAATTGTGTAGGTTTTCAGCTAAATTAACATTTTAAAAAAGTATCATCTTTCTTGGGAAAATTTAACACATACGTCTGACCCCAAAACTTCCATAAATAAACTTATTCTGTATATTTTTCAGTATTTCAGCAGTTTACCAAAGTCTATCTGATACTGTGATATATTTGGTTCTCATCTTTTACTATAGTTAATATTTTAGAGTTCTTACTTGAATGCTAAATATTATCTTGTTTTCTATTTCAAAGTTTTATATGTTTCATTTCAGAAATTGCCATCTGAGTCATAGCTTGTGTTTCCCTACATATACTCATTTTAAGTTCAAATCCAGTTGCTCACAAATTGGAAGCAGCTATTCTAAAGATATTCTAAAGAAAGATTTCTCAGAGATAACCTAGGAAGTAGCTGCAGGTTTTTCTGACAGTATTCTAACATATATATATATATATGTATATATATAATATATATGAGCTTTTATTTTCTCTAGATCTACATGCACTTGTGCACAGAGCCTGTTTATGTATGCACACACAGAGTAATGATCTATCACCTATGTCTTCTGCTTTATAACAACTTTAAGAAAACTTTTTACTTTTTTCCTTTCATTCATCCTTTCTTGAAGTTTGTCTTTTGGCCATAACCTCTTAGCAGTTCTGTAAAATAATTTTCTGTGAAAGAATGACATCATACACCCCACAGGTATTTATTGCTGAGTTATAGTCCTGCATATAACTGTTTTTCTCTCACTCCATCTGAACATAGAAAGGCAAGTACAAACACCTGTAAAAAAATTTTAGAGCAGTGTATGAATATGTATGCATTGAAAATGCAATAATATGAAAAATAGAACTGTTGAATTTTGCAAAGAATTGTATGAACCATATGATTGCCATTCATCCAGATTTTTGCTAAATAACTGAAAGTAATCAAAATAAATTATTGTAACAAAAAGCAGGATGGCTTTCAATCCCGCAGAATGAAGTTAAGAAACTATGAAAAGCCTTTCAATATGTAATTTTCAAATCAGCCATTAATAAACAACTTTAGCCCTAAAATACAGAGGAATAATGCTCTGTTAAAAGGGCTGTACTATCCTAACGCATATGTGGGTAGACTGTGTTGTGATTCTACTTGCTTTATCACATTAAATGAAGGTTTTGTTTATGAGTATTTTCCTTATATTTCCATACAACTGTGCTATCTCACATACTTTTCCCAAAATGTCAGTTCATTTCTTAACATGATCTTTTTATTACCATTTTTTAGACTCCATCTCTTACGAGGGTCTTATTAATTGTCAAAGTGATGTAGAATGAGACTAGCCATGATATATGTAAGACCTCTGAATATATCCTACAATCCGAGAATTGTTTGAGCATTAAATTTTCCCATTTTTTATTTTAATAAAATCTTTATTTATAAAGAAATTTAAGAGGATTTTTTTTTATTTGCGTGTCATTACTTTTGCAATTAAGCCTGGATTTGTCTCATCTCACCTCACATGGCTGAGAAATCTGTTAAGAGACTTCATCTTTCTATAAACAGTGAAGAGAGGTAATGTTTTCCTTCATTGTTTCCAAGGAAATTTGAGCAATTAGGATACTAATTTAGGCCCTTGAAGTCACTAAAAAGATCACAAAGGATGGTTTTGAATTGTCTTGGTTATATCATGTATCTTCGCCCTAAAGCCAGCTCCCACACAGAGACGCTGCTCATTGCTATGGACCTTTGTACAACTGATCAGAAAAATTTGCCATTCAGTGTATGAACCTGAGCTACATGAACCTTGCTGATGTTTCTTGCCACTACTGTTACTTCAGTGTTGCTCTTCACTTCTTTTTCTCAAGATCAATCAAATTATGTTTGATCCAAACCCATAATAACTTGAAAAGCAAGTTCTTTGCAGTCAGCAGACTGAAAGCAGCTGGGCTGCTGGGAGGTATTCCTCTTCATGTTGGATTTCTAATGTCAAATTTTGTCTCTTTTTCAGTCACTGGTACAAGTCCTTATTTCCACCTTCATTGTTCAGTGAGTGCATGATGTTCAGCACTACCAGGAAGCTGACTAGGTCTACCTGGCAGATGTTCATTCTTCTTTCCTTATGGGAATGATTTTGGAAAATCAAGATGACAATATATCACAGAACCTCATGTTGCACTTTTTAAATGAAATCTAGTAAAAGATCAGTTGCTATATTAAAAATGTTTTACGTCAGAATTACATGACAATTACATTATTCATTATCTCCTGACCAGTGTAGAGAAAGAATCTTCCATTTTTAATGGTGTACTGTATACACTGTACACTGTACTGTACTTGTACACTTTAAGTTGTTTAGATTTCTTTTAATTAGGAAAACCAGCTACATTCAGGCCATTATAACAATGCAATATATACTTTGTGAGTCTAAAATCAGACAGATAATAGGTCTGATAGGCTAAAGCTAGATTTTTATAAACTTGTAGAAAATACTTGAGCTGTTTTTTCAGATTAATTTTGTTCATTCTGAATTTTAGAAAAGGTTATCTAACCCGAATATACTGAATGCTTAATGTAAAGAGTGCAAACTTAAAGTTATGGTTGATATATGGCCTTGAATTCACCTATGTTTTCTGACTCTACTGATCTTGAAAGACTTTAAATAACTGTATCAAGGAGCTTATTTTGTGTCAGTCAAACCAATTGGCATTAAAACAGTACTTCGAGAAACCCCTTAACCAAAAATCCTGGCTGAAAAAATGCTTGAGAAGCACATTCCTAGAAGCTTAAAAAGAACTGAAGGGAATGACCAGAGGTATCTTTGGAGTGTATTCAAAAAGTGAATGTCAGGCATTCTCTTCAAGATACTGTCTGAAAAACATTCACGAAAATATGCCACCTTTAACTTGGGCGGAAGCTTTCAATGAAGTTTTCTGTTTGTTTTTGTATGTTTTAAAAGGTTTCCTGTTTCCTTTTGTAATAAGCATTCTCTAACCATGAACAAATTCCAGTGTTTCAGCCATTGAATCCTCTTTTATAACACAAACCACAGGGAGCCTGCTTTAGTGCAGAAAGCTGAGACCCAAGTAAACTTCTGAGTTTCAGCCTTGGGTAACATAATGATTTTCTGTTTTTCTGTTACCTGAAGCTGTTTTGTTACATGAAGACAGGAAGAAGTACTACTAGAGATTTACCCAGTAACTTAAGATATATAAGATTTTGAGAAAATAATATTCTCATGGAGATATTCTTAACTTTTATGAAGAGAAATTGATGGGAAAGTCGTCCTAGGGATTTACTCCCTTCGGCTTTATTGCTCTGTGCAATGTGTAAGCATGATTTTAAACATCACTGACTTTTAAGATTTCCTAGTTTAATTTTGCAGCAGGTGGTTTATAGAGCTAAAATATTTCAAAAATCTTTAAAAGTAAATGGTGTTGGTAGGACGTTCAAGCTGTATGATGATGAAACTTCTCTACATGAAAGCAATGCACACATTGTGTCTTGTTGCACTGAGAAAAGCAAAGGTTCTTTTTACTGATGGCTAGATGACTTATGATGACTTTCATTTTTTTGTTCTTTGATTTTTTTCCAGCTTTCATTTGCAGCAACAACTCCAGAGTTGGCTGATAAGAAAAAATATCCTTATTTCTTCCGGACAGTGCCATCTGATAATGCAGTGAATCCAGCAATTTTGAAGTTACTCAAACATTATCATTGGAAGAGAGTAGGAACTTTAACCCAGGATGTACAAAGGTTCTCTGAGGTAAGATTTGCATAATTTCTAGTATACACAGAGAGATACTAATATCAGACTTCTAAGGAGTTACTTGCTTTATTAATAGCAATTCAGGAAAAATAAACAGTCCCACTGTTTCAGTCCTGCTTGGCTTTCTCTTAGTAGGTCATTTGCTGTACTGAATAAGCTTAATTCCCTTCTGGGGTTTATTTGAGTGTCTGTAATGAAAGCTACCCATGTTTTCGCATATCTGCTTTTTACACACAAGATCATTGCACCCCAGTGCAAAGGTTCTTTTATGCTCTTTGATTTGTAAAAACATATATTTTTGAGAGAGGCTTGTATTCTGACTCTGGTTCACTTAAAAGGGAGAAGAAATCCAATTTCGTCATGTTTCTTTTGTACTCTGATATATTACAAACATCAATCTGAACACTGAGGAACAAAATCTGGTAAGTCTATGGCTAAAAATCTTGGAGGAGCTTACTGAGAAAAAAATGTCTAAAGCCTCTAGAACTAATAGGATCACATACCATGCACCCCACAGATCTTTCAAGTTTCACCTTGAGCAACATTTTGGTCCTAGAAATTGCTATAAAGCAAGGACTAAGTGCCAATAAACATGGCTTTAACAACTGAGTAAAAGAAAACATCTTATATGTAATGAATCAGAGCTAGACAAGGAAAAGAGTTGCCCCATGAATTATCAGAGAGGTAAATCTAACAGACATGCCTGGTTGTTTGGTTGTTGGGAGTTTTTTTCTTCCTCAGCATTGATTTTTAAAAAGGCTGACTGCGCTCTGAAGACTAGCATAATTAAAACTAGAGATGAGGGATAAGAACAGGTTAGAGTCGTCTTAGATGAGTCAGATATTTTCAAATTGTCTGGCACAATTAATTCACTATGGAATACTTAAGAAATCTTAGACTCTTCCCTTATGAGCTTTGAGAATTAAAGGATAAAAAGTAAATGAATTGTAGGGGGAGGGAAGAAACCTCTGTGTCTGTCTTTCCAGAAAACACACAAAGGCCCTGGGAATTACAGGCCAGCCATGTTAAATTTGATTCCTGGAAAGATGCTTGAGCAAGTAATCTGTTTGGAATCACACAGGAGATTAACAAATGCTAAACAATGGTGAAAATGGATTTGTCAAGAATAAATCATGTAAAGCACTCTGATTTCCCTCTATGACAAGATAACAAGTCTCAAGGAGGTGTGATAGGTGATGAGCGATATTTCATGACTTATAAAATGTTAAAAATGCTCCTAAAGAAAAGTAGGGAAACTTAATCTTGGTAAAGATACTGTAAGAGCAGTCTAGTCTCTAACCATTATTCCTGCAACAAAAGTTAATTGACATCAGGTCAGTTGAGTATTTGTTTTTAAAACAAATGCTGAAGCAAAAAGTCACCAAAAAGTGTGGTATGCTTTACCCTTGTCTGTCTTGGAAATAATTTCAGTGAGTAGTTATCAGTGGTATACTGTCAAACAAGAAGGATGAGATTCTGTCAAGTGGTATTCTCTAGAAAGAGATAAGGTTTTTCTCTAGATAGTATGATAGAGAAAATGTTTATTAAATTTCAATTGATACCTACTTGGGAAAAGCTGCAAGTACTTTGCTGAGGACAGGATTGAGTTTCAGAATGATATTGATACTGGCTAAACTCCAGCCAGCAGCCAAGCACCACACAGCCGCTTGGTCATTCCCCTGTGAGCAGGTTTAGGGACAGAATCTGAAGGGCAAAAGCCAGAAAACTCAGCGGTTGAGATAAAGACAGACTCATATGGAAAGCAAAGCAAAACAAGGAATTAGTTCATTGCTTCCCATAGGCAGGCAGGTGTTCAGCCATGTCCAGTAGAGCAAGGGTCCGTCACACATGGCAGTTACTTAAGAAGATAAACACCATCGCTCCAAATGTCCCCCCCTTCCTCCTTTTTACCCCACTTTATATACTGAGTATGGTGTCATATGGTCTAGACTATCCCTCTGGTCAGTTTGGATCACCTCTCCCTCTCTGTGTCTCCTCCCAGCCCACCATACAAGCCCAGCCCTTGCCAGTGATGCAGTATGAAAAGCAGAAAGTCCTTGACTCTGTGCAAGCTCTACACAGCAATAACAAAAACATCTCTATATTATCAACCCTGTGTTCAGCACAAATCCAAAACACAGTCCAAAACACTGTGAAGAAAGCTAACTCTACCCCAGCCAAAACTAGCACATTGATAAAGGTTTTAATAAAAACAATATATAAGTGAAAAAGTACAACATGACTATGTAGGCAGCAGGTCTCCAGAGAAAGATATGGCAAGCACTACAATGAACTCGAAATTGAGTAATGGGCAAGATGTTTAGACTCCTTGATTTACTGTAAAAAGGAGAAAGGAAGCAAAGAGCTCTCATTGCACCACTCCGATGTAATGCAATATTGGCTCTTAAGACACACAGAGTAAACTATAACTCTACTTAGTGTTCATCAGGTGGAAGCTGGAACATCAGGTCTAATATCATCTTCAAGAAGAAAGTAGATCAGAAAAGTCTGTAAAAAACATTGGGCCACCTGGAAACATATTTAATGAGAAAGATTAGAAGTGAAAAAAAAAGTCAAATTGAAAGGGTAAATTGTTGAACTTTTGTTGTGTAGGGTTTTTTTAGGATAAAACTAAACAAACACAACACGGGGATGCTTGGTCTTCTTTGGGACAGCTGGAGGGACTTTTTGTCTGTCAGGGTCACTTGAGAAGTTCTAAAACTGTATCTGTAAAGGGTTTGCAAGAGTGCTGAACTTGAGTACAAAGTCTCTCCATTTCTCTTGAAGGCTAAGCAACAACTTTCTGTGTCTGCAAACTCAATTTACTGTGATTCATTACAGCTTTCAAGTAGTGCAAGATTCAGGTAAAGCTTCCTTGAATTGCAGTGAGTTTTATACAGCATGCTGGGTCCTGTGTCTTCAAAATGATTAGAGCTCGATTCTTCCTTTTTTAGCTCCATGTAGAGTCTCTCCCTTCCCCATGTAGACAGTGAAAGCACAGGAAAAACTGCAGGAACTGATTAAATTGCTGTCTGGGAACAGTGAGGAATGGAGTAGAGCAGGAGAGCATGCGATGGCTGGGTAGAGCCCGGTCCTGCTGCAAAGAGAGGAGAGCAGACCCAGGGACTGAGGCCAGGATCAGCCAAGTGTGCAGATCATCGGGCAAGTAACTCCATGGCAATGAAGCAGGTCCAAGGCCAAGCTGGCAAATCAATCCACAAGTCAGGGTCAAGTCTAGTGGCTGCTGGACACGTCTATGACAGAAACTGAAGACACAGGACTAAAGGCTGGATAGAGCTCCTAGAGGAAGGACCATCAAGGCTCTTAGTGACCCTCAGGTGCTGGTATAAGTCTGTACATAAACTGAAACTATAATTTTCCCTCTAAAGGAACATCAGGCATTATTCTTCTGACATTTTTTTTGAAAGTGACAAAATAGTTAAATAGGATCTAAACCTCCTCTATCTGTTGTAAAATGCCAGTGAGCTTGAGATGTGAATGGTCCTATCTATAATGAAAATGCATTACATGCCATTAGATCAGAAGTAATTGAATGTCTTCTCTTTCTCTCATGCAAAATAAAATAAGCAGAAACAAATTAATGGGATCTTTAGAGAAGCGTGTGTAGTAACTCGGGTGATTTTACTCCTAGCGAGACAGAGCAGTTCTCTAATTTTTCCATCTTCCAGAAAGACTGCATCGGTTTGACAGATCTCTTTCTCTTTTTTTAAAATCTAGAGCAGTTTGGATGTCTATCTAAATTTCCTCCAGTGGTCCTTCCACCTAAACACATGGGGGGGATAGATTCTCACTCTCGCATAGGGACTTCATACCCATGTAGTTTAGTCAACAGGAACCCTGATTTCATCTCTTTACCTGCCATCTAGCTTCAGCGGTTTTTTGGCTGATGACTTTTTTTCCTTAGCTAGATCACTGTCTCCTGTCCCTCTGCAATTTGTACTTGGATCTTATCTCCTGAATAATTAAAGCTCACCTAACTTGTCTGCAGGTTAGCTGCCCCTTAAAGTCATCAAGCTGTCTTTTTGGTTTACTTTGCCTTGTAATGAGACAGTTGTCTCAATTGCTTAGTTTATCTTTACCTCTGAAGGCCAAGATCACAGAGGATCTCTTGCTTCTATTTCAGTTGTTTTCTTTGTGAATCTTTTCCACTGAAGCTTTGGGTTATCACTCATTTCCTCTTACTTGGTGAAAAATCTTCTCTTTCTTATTAAAAAATGTTATATCTTCCTTATTCTCCAGGTGACAAAGAGAGATAAAGGTTAGGTAGAGAGAATGGAGAACTTTATGCCACTGTGCTTTCAGTTCTTAGAGCACATGGGTAATATCTATACATCTTATACTGCTATTGTGGCTTGAGACTTCCTTTCTTGGCATTACTTGGATTCCAGGATTATGACTTTTCAAGGGACCTGTATTTTATGGCTGCCAATAGTTGAGCTCACTGTTAGCATCCTTTGTGAGTTCTTCAGGTCTCTTTTTACAACCATAAATATCCTTTCCATTGGGTTAGTGTTTAAATTGTGTAAGTTGACTTGGTATAAGAATAATGTACACAATTCATCAGTTCTGTTACTTAACTAGGACAAATTCATACCTACTGTGCTTCTGTGTCCTAGATTTTATGGATTGCTACCCTGTTTTCATCCTCTGGGAGAAGATTCTGTTTCAAAAGTTAACTCTGGGGCAAAGATTTATAAATGAGGTTACAAAATATTTTCAGGATTTTCAGCTTAAAGTGTTTGCTGTGGGAATCTAACTGTAGAGTAATTTAAGTTGGAAGAGATCTTAGGAGGTCTCTCATCCAACCTGCTGCTCAAAGCCAGGCTAGCTTTAGTGTTTATCAGCCCTGAAGAGTTGTAGCTGTTTGACGTGGTTCTGGGCAGGAAGGCTTAGTTTTTGCAGTATCCAGGAGGGGACATCCCCAGGAAACAGAAGTTATTCTATACCATCTCACCTCATTGCTGGCATTTGGAGGA